GGAGGAGGTGGAGGAGGAGGTGGAGGAGGAGGAGGAGACCATAAGTAAAATAAAAATGATGGCAGCAACAAACTATCCACAATATTATTTTTACTAATCCATAGATCAGATTATTTAGCTGTTTTGTATATCTGTACCATATTTGCATAAATAAATAAAATTATGAAACAAACAAAAAAAGATCTGCAGCCATTCATGTGCTAAGAGAAACAAAAGAGACAGAAGAAAGTAGGTATTAAATATAGTTACATTTATTCATGTTAGAATACCTAAAGGAATACTATACATGTAAAATTCATAAACAATATATGGAGTAGACAAGTAATAATAATTTCAGCTGATGGTGTTGATAAATAGATCTTGTGTATTAGAGACAAAAACAAATATTACTGGGCTGTCTTTTAGCCTTCAGATAAAATATAAAGGAAAATGAAATACACTCTTATTTGGAGCTGATAGATGTACTGGTGTGACTTCCCTTGCATAAGGTAGCTGACTGTCTAAAATGATCAGAAGAGGAAGTTAGTTTAGATACACTGAATTCCCTATTGCATTGTCTGGGACTGGATGTTCAGTAAACTAAGAAAGTAGTGAAGCTAGCGACTATATATTAGCTGCTAATAAATCAATTAAAAGGTAATGCAATGAAAATAAATATGTGAGTATTATACTGTAGCCATAAACTGTCTTCTAAGCTTCGAAATGGAAAATATATTTTTGCCTTATTTGCAAATAAGTTCCATTTAAATTAGTAGGAGCATGGATAGTATTGATCTTGCATGATTGTTTCAATAGGGTTTAAAATGAAGCAGTAGTATAAGCAGCAATCAGATCTTTCTAAAATCAGCAATATTATTTTAGTGAAAAAGTGTGTTTCACTGCAATTTATTCCATTTTTAATGAGTAAACAATCCTGAAGTATTTTAATCCTTTAATTGCTTTTGCACATTACTGGAGAGTAAATCACACTGAATTTAAAGAGGCATAGTTCTTATTAAATATGCATAGAATTGCTTTGTTAATTTATTAAAATGTATTAGGAACAAATGAACGAAAATAAGGAACATGGGGGTGAAATGAATCAAATCACAGTCTTCAAAATAAGTCAGTTGAACCAAGTCAGAGTCATCAAAATCATGTCGGATTTTGGGCACTATATATGATACGCAATGATATACATTCACTGATATAATCTAGCCAATAAATATCTTACAACCCTGTTATAGCCTAATATCATTACATGGCACTCAAGCAGTAGATTATGAATGAACAGGTCATACTGCCCAAGAGGTATCTACCAGCAAGGCTTCAGTATTCTATACATTTTACAAACAAGCAACCATTAATATGTTTACTTAAAAAAAACCATACGTACGGGTAGCCTAATTCCATGAAGTTGTTCCAAGTCTGCTTTAGCACCATTATAATACCCAACTGCATACAGAGATCAATAAGGCATCCACTAGGGTGGCACTGCAGAAGAAGCAGGCGGTAAGGGAACAAAGGGAAGTTAAAAGCCATGCTGACCAGGAATGATTGGAACGGAACCCCAGCATTCATGTTGAGGAAGGCAGCAATACACGTTTCATAGAACTCAGCCTTGTAAGTTGTATCCTTATTTTGTACATCTTCCAATAATTTCAGTAAACTGAGAACAGGGTGCTTAAATGTGTTCTTTGCTTGTGCCTTGCTGCCTAAAACTGCACCAAGATATTTATGGAGGGAGCTTTTACATACTGCTATCTAAATTTATTATGTGCATAAGTGCATATGCTGGGTTGGGGGATTCATAGCCCATAGAGGGATTTTTGAGCCAGAGAGGCCAGGATATGACCTTTGGACCCCAGGTATACCAGTTTTAGGTGATGTCTTGCGTAGGCGATGTCTTGCATTTATATCAGAAGGTACAAGATTTGAAGTGGAGGAATCAAGGAAATCAGTTTTTATCTGTATGACTTATCGGCTGTAATGTTTGAAAACCTTCCCAGACCTAATAATGATTAGCTGTGCAGCCACATATTTTTACTTGCTAGGAAAGTGACCTCTGGAGAATGGGCAATGAGGTCTGTGGACTGGTCAATTTGGGAGTGATCAAAACCTAAGCTTTACTGGCATCTGTCTACTGGCCTGGACATCCCAAAGCAGGACAAAGCCTGAACAGTAGCAATCAGTCAAACAGGAACTGTAAAGTATTTGCTTTGTCTGTTGCTAAAGAAAGAATGGTAAGCTGGAACAGTATTATTACATAAAAGAATATAGGGTTGTAGGCTAAATGTTTGAACCAGAATTCTGTGCATGTTCTCAGTATTGATGAAGGATGTTGTTGCTGCTGCAAAAACATCCTGTACACGCTTCTATACCATACAACATGTACAATTGTCATCGTTTTAGTAGAAATTACATAGTAATTGCATTAAGGCAGCCTTTTCTATATCAGACTACAACTTTACTATGCGGAGTGACAATGCAGATTAATTATGAAATATGTATCCTAATGTATATACAGTATATAGTCCAACGCATCTAAAGAAGCGTAACTCCAGGACTCAGGACCAGTAAAAGCATTATAGCTGTTTGTGATTTTCCCATGCTAGTTAATAGCAAAACTTCAGTAAAAAACACAACATGAGGAATAACAATAATAATAATAATAGGGCTATTTTCTGAACATAGGTGTAACTGAATCTAAAATTGGTGCACATTCTTACTATAATTCTATATGCATTTATATAGGAGTAGGTCTCATTAACTCAATAGCAATTACTTCCAAAGAACTGCAGTTACTTCATAAATTATTTTCCAGTACTTTAAATATATTTTAGACACTATAAATTATGAGATTTTTCCAGATATGGTAGTCCCCAGTTTAAGAATGAGTTCCGTTTCCATGGTCTGTCTTTAAGTTGAATTTGTATGTAAGCTGGAACAGTATTATTGTATAAAACTGAATAAGTAGTATTGTGTAATGAACCTGAACCATTGTGTATTTAATTCAAATCATTGTGTATTTAACTCGAATTTTGCTACAATAGGCTCCGTTCATAACTATGGGTTGTCCGTAAATGGAGCATTCTTAACCCAGGGACTAGCTGTACTTTCACATAACATTTCAAAGCTAAGATTGTACATGTTGCAACTATGTACAATATGTTTCAATATTAATATAAAACACTTACTTCTTCTAGTCTCCATCTGTTTATGAGCCTGAGGTAGGCACCAGGGTGACCTGTAAACCTTCAATACAGGAAAAGTCATCATCTCTTTGTAGATACATTTTTGATCAAAACAATAGGAACGTAAGAGGAAAAGGTCAAATACAAGAGATGCGATTGTATTTTTCCGTGGAAAAGTACATTAAATTTGCGCTAATGTTAGTATTTGAGTGTACAATGTACCAATTGTTCTACTGAAAATAATGTTTGTGGTTTATATAAGAATCTTGATGTAACATAAAAGATATTTTTCCTATCCATGAAAAAGCAAATGAGGGCTACCAATACTAATTTTGTTGCTGATTTTGCTTGATAGATGACCATTTCAACCTAGCCATATCAAAATTTTCATGACAAAGCACAAACTAATCTCGTGAACAAATGATAAATTTGATAGTTTTCAGGTATTTGTAAACATCCTGAAAACATTTTATTAAAAAAAGGTAGAACCTTCCAAATGTTTATTTGATGCTTTGGAGTAGTAAAAGAAAATAGGGGATAGAAAGTCTAAAAGTGAAATTCTGTATTACCTTTTCATTCTTATTGTGTGATAAATATTCTGAGGGACTGTCAATACATTGCACATACCCTGTTTGTTGGGTGCATGCAATAGTAAGTTAGCTTGCAACGTAGCATCTAAGCTAGAGATCCTAGCCTGCGTAGAATAGCCTGGGCACACTTGGAATTAAACTAGACTTTAGTTATGCTTGTGAAATACTGTGCCAAATAGAGTTTTGTTTTGTTTTTAATCTGCGTTCAGTCGTTACCGACTCTGCAGTGACTGCTTGGACGAGTCCTTGCAG